GAATGTCAGATGAAAGAGAGAAGCCGATAACTAGTACATTCTAGAAACGATAAAACGAGAACCTTCGATAGCGAACAACTCGAGTATTCTACACTTTCGTCTACGAGAAGGCGACTGCTATATAAGGGCGACACTCAGCTGCCAAGTAGTCAGTGACAAAGTGAACTCGTGGGTAACGACATAGAGTATAGCGGAATAAACTATTTGAGTCGTAAAGTAAACGCGTTGGAAATTACATATAAATAAAGTAGATTGTGTAAGTGATTGTAGCTAGTAAAGTGCTTTGTAATTGAATGGTGAATTACTGAGTAAATAAAGGATATTAGATAAATTCTTTGTAATGAAAGAAAATGCAAATTAAGTTGGCGAGTTTTATTTAACAATCCAGAGATCGTACCCGAAGGATTCAGAAAATCATCGAGGTTGATTTAGAAAAATTGTAACAATATATATGTATATATATGTATTTCAATCAATGTGTATGTGTATATATATAAGTTTATAAAATGTATATATTTATATATGTTGTATGTAACTTCTCTTGTTGTTGGTGTTGCTGGGTAGATATTTGGCTTGGGGCCCTGAAGTTGGTGAGGCAGTCATACAAAAGAGACGTATATAGTTCTTTAGAACGACGCATCCGTTCACACCGTTCGTGTTTCGAGAGATGTCTTAAAAGATACTGTATTTACACAAATTGAACATCCATCCAACAGCGTGGAACTGGTTCCCAGTGACTTTTTCTGTAGAAGAAATAGAAACTACTCTTCGGTAACCGTCTTCAGGGCAACTAATAACAGCATATAAACAAAAAAAAAACAATCAATTATATAATTTAGTAAATTTAACATAACATACATACATTGAATAACACGTCTTTTCAGTGTGATGTAGAGTTTTGTACTGTCGATTTGTTCGTTAGCAAGTGTCTGTACAAGTGAACGCAATTATCAGTGTCCGTTTTGATGTTTAGTATTATGTTTCTTGGGGTGTTTATTATATGCAGCATTTCTCATGCGTACCGCTTGCTGCACTGTTGTTTTTGTTGAAGAATTTTTACATCGTCAAAGTTGAGAGATTGGCCATAGGCTGCACAGTGGGACAAAAGTGCTGTTTTTTGTGTTTTCGTTTGATGCCTTAGTTTGTAGTCCGATTTATGTGATAGGCAAACTTATTAAGGAAATTAAATTCTTATTGCAATGTAAGCAATATGAACTAACGCTCATTCTCCTGACGAGCTGGACCAAAAATGTTTATATCAACACAACTTGTATTAAATTAAAATAACAAAAAGAAAAATATAAACCATTACTATTAAAAAAAGATTCTTAACATCGGGATAACACAGACTAACATTAACTGCAAGATAGCAACAAAATTTATTACAACATAAACAACAACTTAAGTGAAATCTAAGCAACGAAGAGCTGAGGGCATTATCATTAAGAAAAAGGCCAAAGTCATAAAACTGCTCCAGAGCGTGTTACTAGATATGTAAAAGTGAGCATACAAAGTATACCATTTTCGCTCACATTCGAATTAACTCTCTGATTAAAACAATTCAAATTCTTTGGCCTAAGTTTCAATGTGGAGTGAAAGAGACAATCGAATGCAAACATATATGTTGGAAAAATGCGAGTGCCGTTGGCTTGCAACTTGTTCACAAACGAATGTGCTCTTGACAAATTAACCAAATGTTGAAACTTTATCAAGATTGTTATCAAACAAGAATTAATTTGTTAATCTGTGTCAATCTTGATAAAACATAAAGCTTCAGTTCGTTGAAATGTAAGCAGGAGTCAGATGTTTTTGCTATCATTAAATCTTTTAGAATAGAGGAAAAATAAATAAACAATTAAGTAATACAACTAAGTAGTATATTTGGAAAGGAAATGTGTAAATTTTTACATTTCGATTATTTAAAAATTATAGAGATGAAATATATCTGGATCTCGTTATTTTACCGTCACGTATATTTTGTCATGTGTATAATGCAAAACTCGGTGCTTCAGCGAACATGTAAAGCGCGATTTCAAAACACCGTACTAAGAAATATATCTAATTTCTGCTAGAGGATTTGAGTTCTTCAAATGGTGTTAGAAGCCACGGCTCTAGAGTATAACCTTGATCGCCAATAAAGCAAGATTCTTTCCGCTAATACCACAGTGTGCTGACGAATGAGATGCTCCCGTAGGTCGCAAGCTGCCCAAATTGCCGCAGAAAATTTTGTGTTAAGAAAAGTGAAAGATAAACGTACACCAGAGAAACCACATATTTATAAATTGCATTGGCTCAAACAATACTTACTACTTCGATCTTGATACTATAGAGCCCCCTCCTATTCAAATAAAAATTTAGAGGATTTTTAATATTGTTTGATGACGGACATTACAATGTGCGTGCAGGAAATTGCACCTAATGTGCTTTTCATGCCGAATTTTCTGAAAACCTTAATACATTAAAAAAAATCTAGTTTAAGTGGTCTTTAATTTGCTTTAATACATACCCTGATTTTACATTAGATTCTTCCTCTGCCGAAATGGGAAATTATATTTCTCCTTCCTACCAAAAGTTGCAAATCATCTTCGCCCACATCACTGTTTTGTATAAATTAACTTGTTTCCGTAGCTATCAGTGCCCCAATCAACCAATCATTTTTCAACCCTGAACGCACCGACATTGCGAATCCCGTACCGCTGCGCGATAATCACTTGCATTTTCTTAAATTATATCTAATTCCATTTGTAAAATTAAATTATAACACTTAACTCATTCATTCTTTCTACATATGTATGTTAAATTAAAAATTAACGAATTTTAATACACAATTCTCTTTATACATATGTATATCTGTAAAATATTGGGTTGCCTAAAAAGTAATTGCGGATTTTTCATATAGTCGGCGTTGACAAATTTTTTCATCGGCTTGTGACTCGGTAATTGCATTCTTTCTCCTGTCAGTTATCAGCTGTTACTTTTAGCTTGCTTTAGAAAAAAAGTGCGCGAAATTTTGTTTACATTTGTACTTGTGAAAAAGCTTGATATTTGGGTACCACATGTATTGAAAGAAATTCATTTAACACACCGAATCAACGCTTGTGATATGCACCTTAAACGCAATGAATTCGATCCGTTTTTAAAACGAATCATAACTGGAGATGAAAAATGGATTGTTTACAACAACGTTAGTCGAAAACGATCATGGTCCAAGCATGGTGAACCAGCTCAAACCACTTCAAAGGCTGATATCCACCAAAAGAAGGTTATGCTGTCTGTTTGGTGGGATTGGAAGGGTGTCGTATATTTTGAGCTGCTTCCAAGGAACCAAACGATTAATTCGGATGTTTACTGTCAACAATTGGACAAATTGAATACAGCCATCAAGGAGAAGCGACCAGAATTGGTCAATCGTAAAGGTGTCATATTCCACCAGGACAACGCTAGACCGCACACATCTTTGGTCACTCGCCAAAAACTGAGTGAGCTTGGCTGGGAACTTTTGATGCATCCACCATATAGCCCTGACCTTGCACCATCAGACTACCATTTATTTCGATCTTTGCAGAACTCCTTAAATGGTAAAACTTTCGGCAATGATGAGGCTATAAAATCGCACTTGGTTCAGTTTTTTGCAGATAAAGGCCAGAAGTTCTATGAGCGTGGAATACTAAATTTGCCAGGAAGATGGCAAAAGGTTATCGAACAAAATGGCAATTATATATTTGATTAAAGTTCATTCTAAGTTTTATTAAAAATGCATTTACTTTCTTTTAAAAAATCCGCAATTACTTTTTGGGCAACCCAATAAATTCCTTGAATTTCCAACAATAAAACCCGAAGCTATAACGCTCATAAAACCTAGATCCTTTTATATCGATATAAACTCTTAAATTTTCTTAAGCTTTAAAACAGTTTCTTTTTCATTTTGCCTGTAATATTATCTTGTTTATTATTTGTTTATTTATTTATTTAATGATTTTTCAATTTTAGTACTTCAAACATAAATTAACTAATATAATTCTTATTTATTCTTTTCATATATACACGAATGTTCAAACATTATGATGGTTGGTTCCAGTCTTTTAACAGTTTGGACGAATTTTAAGAAGATGCTAAACCTAATTATAATAGTAAAAGAGTTATGTGTTTGTCCGCCAATATTGACTAGAATTATTCTCCTCCGAAAAGAATCCCTCCGCATACTTCTAATATTAATTTAATAAATCTGTCGCCACCTTGTCAAAATATAGAAGCCTTCCACAACTAAAGGACAGACTAACTATGAATGATATGTGACACCGAACAAATGAAAAAATAATGAAAGAAAACGAGTTGGAATTACACTGAAAATTGTGTAAAAATTTTGTACTAGGTCGATGTAAAAATTTCCTACTGGGATACTGCTATTTTAGTTCGGTATATGTACGTATATATGTATATAAGTTAATTTACTTTTCGTAAGTTTTTGGAAAAAAATTAGTTTATTCTACGCTTTAGCACATGTTGGTTTATTGAATTCTAACTTAGAATTAACTTACAATTTTTATTTTCCTAAACATTAAGCTTCTGTGTCCCGATGTTATGCAGGTGCGCCTTCATGTTGTTGTTGCTGTGGGCTATCTGGTGAACGTTCCCATGCAGCAGCGACGCAGAGTCACCATTTTGACGATTGCGCGTGTGGTGTCGTTTGTCCGTGGGATAATGGCCACTGCGAACTCTATATGCTTGCGTAAGTTAAAATATGTCGTGGGAAAGCTGCTTCAGCGTATCCCATGTAAATTTCTCTCTCTTTAAAGCATGCAGCGTCCTCGATGGAGGACTTCGAATTGTCGGCGATTGCAGAGGATAATCTTTCATTACCAAGGAAAATATAAATAAAACTTCTGGTTGATTCTGTTACAATGCCGATTTTGTACTTGTTGTTGATGGTTTCGCCTTTTTTGATGCTCGCTATATTGAGATTTTTGCTTTGACCTTTTTGGAATTCGTAATTACAGGTAGTGGTTTTGCGAAAACTTGAATTACGCTAAGATAATTTCTGTCTTCGATGCGGATGGTTGAATTTTCGTACTTGATGACAGTTTAATTGCATCTTCATCCATTTGTATGGTGCCATTAAAGTTGTTGATTAGTATTACCCCAGGCTTTTCTTTCTTCTACTGTTGGTATGTGGTGCCCATTAGCTAAAGTGCAATTGGAAGTACATTTGGCAAAAAAAAATCTCTGTACACCCTCAATGCTTATTTTCATTTGTTAAAAAATCACTTCTGCATGAAAAATCTTAGAGGGGAATCAAATCATGATTTATTGCTTGTCCATTGCATAATATTGTTGCGAAAATGCGAGGCGAATGTCAGATGAAAGAGAGAAGCCGATAACTAGTACATTCTAAACGAGAACCTTCGATAGCGAACAACTCGATGATTCTACACTTTGGTCTACGAACAGCCGGCTGCTATATTAGGGCGACACTCAGCTGCCAAGTCAAGTGACAAAGTGACAACAACATAGAGTATAGCGGAATAAACAATCTCAGTCGTAAAGTAAACGCGTTGGAAATTGCATTTAAGTAAAGTAGATTGTGAAAGTTTATACAAGTGATTATAATTAGTAAAGCGCATTGTAATTGAATTGTGAATTGCGGAGTAAATAAAGGACATTAGATAAATTCTTTATAATGAAAGAAACTGCAGATTAAGCTGGCGAGTTTTTATTTAACAATCCAGAGATCGTACCCGAAGGATTCAGAAAATCATCGAGGTTGATTTAGCAAAATCGTGACAATATAATAGCACCTAAAACAATTAAAATCTGGCAACATTGATTTATCGTTGAATTTGCAAAAAAAATACTCATTCGGCAGCACAGAAGAAGTCAGCGTACAAGTAGTAGAAAGGGAACTCCCCGCGTAATAACCCAGTACGATAGTGCCGGAAAAGTATAATTTTTCTTTTTTTCATAAAATCGAAATTTCAAGAAATTTCAAATCTGTTCTGCTTTTATAATAGTAATGTTGTCCAAAGGAAAAGAAGGTAATTATTTAGAACAGCAGCTTTTGCTAAAACTGTCCAAATCGATGGGGTTTTTGGCTAAATAGATGTATTTGATGATTATCTTTTCATTAAAAGTGGGGGAAAGCTGAATTTTGCAATAGTTTTATTATTATTAACATTTAAAGTTACACTAAAATCACTAGCACATACATTACAAACAAATACAAGGCTAAAGCGATGTTGCCATACTGTGTAAGAAATTCAAAAAAGAGCAATAAATAAGGCGGAGCAAGTGTGGGTCCGGCATAGTTTGTTTTTTTCGATTTATTGAAAGGAACAAAAACAAAAATTCTTAACATGAATAAAAACGAAAGTTCATATTATTTACATATTTACATACAAAAACGAAAACTGTTCAAAAATTCAAATATTAAGGTATTTTCATATCTTCAAAATTCATATTATTTACATATTTAAATTGTAACCCTGGGCCGGACCAACACTGGCTTCGCCTTTCTCAGTACTCTTAAGTGAAACTCCTTTGTAAGTTGGCGGCCTTCGGCCGCGCTTTGGATTGTAACCCTGGGCCGGACCAACACCGGCTTCTCCTTGCACAGTATTTTTGAATGAAATGTCTTTATGAAAAATACTGTTTAATTCATATGTTATTTTACATGCAAGCCAATATGAATTTTCTTTTTTATTCATGTTATGAATTTTCGCTTACATTCGTTTCAATAAATCGAAAAACTATCAATGCAGGACCTACACCTGCTCCGCCTTATTTATTGCTCTTTTTTAAGTTTCTTACACAGTATGGCAATGTCGCTTTCGCCATACTTTGTCTTATTCATTACTCTTTTTTAAGTAAGATATGGCAACATCGCTTTAGCCTTGTATTTGTTTGTATTGTATGTGCTAGTGATTTTAGTGTAACTTTAAATGTTAACAATAATAAAACTATTGCAAAACTCAGCTTTTCCTCATGTTAGTAATTTTAATGCTGACAATAATAAAACTATTGCAAAACTCAGCTTTTCCTCATGTTAGTAATTTTAATGCTGACAATAATAAAACTATTGCAAAATTCAGCTTTCCCCCATTTTTAATGAAAAGATAATCATCAAATACATCTATTTAGCCAAAAACCCCATCATTTTTGGACAGTTTTAGCAAAAGCTGCTGTTCTAAATAATTACCGAAAAGAAATAAGCTCTTCTGAAAGAAAAATTATAAGGAAACTTTTCGATGAACGAAAAATATACCGTTATATTGGTCGGATTGTTGGAATGATACACTCTTCCATCCAAAGAGTGATAAAAAATTACAAAGATACCATCATTTATGTCTCTCGGCCAAAAATATTAACACAGCGTGAAGCTCGTAACGTTTTACAGAGTTTGAAGCGCTATCCCCGACTTTCAGCATCCAAATCCGCCCAAAATGTTAGGAGAAATTTCGAGAAGACCCTCTGCGCCGACACCATCCGTATAATTTTGAAAAATGCAAGGTATGCGGCCATGTCCCATGCAAAAAGCCATTCGTACCGCGAGTCAAGAAACAAAAACATATTGCTTTCGCGAAAGAGCAAAAGATTATTTTTTCCGATGGAATCAGAGGTCGTAAGATTGGGCACCTCTCTCGATAAGGAAAACTTGGTGCCCACTGTGGTGGTTGGGCAATGATATGGGGTGCCTGGCCAGTAATGGTGTGGGCAGAATGGAATTTATAGGGTCGCTATGGACAGATATGCATATCGTAATGTTTTGAAAAGAAATTTGAAGCAAAGTGCTGAAGAATTGGGTCTAGAAAGTGAGTACTACTCTCAACAATATAATGACCCGAAGCATACAGCGGACATAGCGAAGCTGTGGTTGCTCTAAAACGTCCCCAAGTAGCTTCGAATAATTAGTTACAATATTTTGGTTGATATTATGTACGCAGACTTTTTCTGCCGAGTGTATATCTCTTTAGTAGATTTGGTATACAGCTATTTTCCGTGACTTCTTTGAAATTAACTTGTTTGTTTAATGTTATATTCGTTTATATTCTTCAGACTGTTTTAAATATTAAGTATTTTTTCGTTACAAGCAACCAAATTTTCAAATTCTAGCTTAACGACTTTATTATCTTGTGTAGTGGGTTTTACCATTAATGACTTACAATCTTCTTTACTTGATAGAAGATAAATTTTATGCAATTTTGACATCACTAAATTCTATGGCTTCAATTAAGTTTAAATAAGACATATTTTGCTTTTCTAATGTTTCTTCAATAACAAAGAGTTCTTTGTTAGATAATATAAATGAATTTATAATTTTGGCTTTTGCCCGTTGAATAGAATAATCTAAATTTTTTAATTCTTTTTTAATATAAATAAGCTTTCTTTCTATGTGTTTTTCTAATTTTAATTTAAAATTATCTCTTGATTTTATTTCGTTTAAAATTATTTTTGAAATATGGATTTTATTATTTATCCTTTCTAGTGTGAGTTTATTGATTATTATTTGCTGATTATTGTTATCAAGTATATTATTTATTTTACTACTTATTGTGTTAAAATCTTCATGGTCTGGTGATCCAGCTAACCATTTCTAGGCTATGGAATCTATGAATCTCTTTGGTCTTCTAGGTTTGTGTTGAGATAGGATTATAATAGACCTTTCTTCTTGGGAAAGAAATAGATAATTTTGGCTTTTTCTGGTTACGTCATGTTCTATTGTGTAATGCATTTTGTCAAGTTCGTTGTCATATTGTATTAGTCTAAATGTTCCAATTTGTGCCTTTGCATTCCCTGTTTCTATGGTCATATTTTTTCTGCTTACGTAATCAAAATCATTGCACAAGGCAAGCAAAATCATGCAAGATTTGTAAAAGGCTTTACTAAGAAGGTCTTCGAAATCGGTGTAAGTATTCTCTGCCTTTTTGCATCATAATACTTCGGAAAGGGTCGAATGAAATCATTCTATTTGTCCGTTAACAGAACTTTTATATGAATATTTATATTCCGTACTGGCTTTCTCACATGAAGGTTATGGGAGCTACGCTTATGGGTTTCTCGTTGTCTATTACAATCTTTTTAAGTACCTTAAAAGCCTGGGCTTAAAAGAACACATAAATTCGTAGTTTAAAAATGAGTTATGTTGTTTAAAGAATTGAGGATCAAAAGCTTTTAATACTTTCAAAAAAGTGGCGATAATTTCTTGAACTTAACAAAAAATGTTATATTGATTACATAACTAAAGACAAATATTTCACAATGTAAAACTGTGCTACGATTTTGTTAACTTCAAACGAAAGTTTTTCTTCTTTCCGTCCGCCATGATATACAAATCCACTACGTCAAATGGCAGTCTAAGTTCTTCCAACATGTTTTTAAATCAATTTCTTCAATTAATTCTCAAAGTGGGTTGTCCGTCTGTGAGCGTAAGTAATGTTCAATAACAATAACTAATTCAAAAACTATTTCTATTATGAATCTAAAACACCCCTTCAGTTATGATCCAGATATGATTCCTACATGCCTTCTGAAAAGTTGTGCCAAAAATCTGTATTTGCCTTTAACTCAACTTTTTAATTCCTCTCTCAAACCAAATGTGTTCCAAATAGGAAGCAGTATTTTATGGTACCCATTCATAAGTGTTGTCGCGTACTGGCCGCAACAAAAACTTCTTTTGTGTTTGTTTGTTCACTTCCTTTCTTTTGCCTAAGCCTCCTTTCACTCCAAGCGTTTGGCAGTGACATCTGTCGGCAAATAGTTGCATTATTTCAAGCCGTGGATTGATGGTACGGTTGCATTCGGTGTGCGCCTACCCAGTGTAATAAGTCTCCAAAAGGAGGTGTTCCCCAAAATGGTTCCTCCACTAACAAATTAGAGCAACGGAATTCTTTGCGCGGGAGCTCCGT